AAGTGAGACGATTGAAAAGTGGCAAGCTGTTAGCACTAATGGTTTAGATTTAAGCATGATCAACATTGCCAGCATAAAACGCCTGTTCCCATACCAGTTGCAAGCGTAAATTGCATTTATATACTCTTCACTCTATTTTCAAAGTACATGGTCTTTATTCCTTTAGCAATAATTCTTTTTTTCATGTTATTCGTTTTTCATTACCTCAATTGTTAAATGCGTACCACACCATGAATACATATAAGTTTGAAAAGTTTTTGATGAAATGTATGCAGCGAATAAAACTGCTCTTTCGACTGTCAAAGAGTGCATCTATCATAACAAAACAATTTTATTTTCCATTAGTATACAATGATTAATCAAAGATATTGTTTCGGAGTGAAAATAGTACCTGGGTAATCTGGTAGATCAAAGCACAAAGTACAATAGCATTAGTCGTCATTAAGCAAAGTACAATTGGTCCATAAATTCTTTGAAGAGTGTCACAACATTTCATCAATGTACAATATTGGATCATACACTTTTTGACGATAATATCACTGTCATTCTCTTCGTCAAGATGAGAAACTTGATAGGTAATTTCACGAATTTGTCCAATGATTAAGAATATAAAATATATAAAGAGTATATCAACTCCGACTGTGAGAATGAAAAGTGTACAATTGGCAAGTGCTTCATAAAAAAAATGGAGTTGATAAAAGAACCCAGAATACGGAATAGGCCAGGGAAATGAGCTTGGATAAACGAATATGTAATGGTCTGGTGTCACTTGATTAAAGTAATTGAGAATATTGGTGGTCAGTGGTAGAAGGAGAAACAGGGCAACTGATGTAAATACAGATATAGCCATGCCTATACTTAGGAATCTGTATCTAGAAATGTGTTCCATGACTCGATGGGTTAAATGATCTTGTTTCAATAGATCCATAAAACGGACATCCAATGAACGATGAAGCTCGAAAACTTCTTTTCTGTGAGTTAAATAACATGTCATCTACAAATAAACATCAATTGTGACCAGTTTCAACTATTTTTATTGCTTTGATAAATTTATTATGCAGGCAATCGTCGCATTTATCATATTTTTAGTTTTTAAAGTGTATTACGGAAATTGAAACAGCTTTAATAGAAACATTTTCTTTATATTTTGCCATATATAATGAAGCAAAGAGCTTTTTCGAAGATTTTCGATATGAATAAAAACAGAAATTTCATATCAACTTGTCATATTTAAGTGAAAACGACATAACTCGAGAACTGCCTGTATTCAGAAGTTAGAAAATTTGGAATATATCAACATCAAGAAGTATATAACACTTCAATACCTTAAGAGATATTAAAATAAAGCTGGTCATTATACTCATGGCTCCCGTAAGCAAAGGAATATTCCTATAATGGGCTTTAACAAACCCGAATATGATATAAGCCATGCTGATGCTTAAAAGTAGATGGTAATAAGGAAGAATCCGATACATCTTATTAGAATACTTTTCTGACCATCCTAACAATGTTAAAAAATGTTTATTGAAATGACGGTAAGCTAAAAATTTCGAAACTACTGGATCTAACTTCTTTGCCATTATCGACACACGTACTTCCCAAGTCACTGAAACTACTTGTGTTATTTGTCATTATCAACTAGTCAGCTAAAAACTTTGTAAGAGAAGCTACACGGGAGCGTATGGAATAAAATTTTTATCAAGATATGTACCTGCGATTTCCTTGAATTCAAGAATAATGTTGAGGGGAAAATTGTTCATGATTTCTTATAATAGGCTGAATATCGATTGGAGAATTTACAATAAGCATCGGAGCGACAGTCTCAATGCAACTGTTAACCTGATCACATCGTGGTGAAACGTATTATTTTGTAAAGAATACTGGAATATAGATATGATTTTAAATTATATGGAGAGAATTTTATCTTTAGATATTTATTGTCAATATTTTAAGCTTCCTTCAAGGTATCTAGTTATTGAATCACCACATAAATGGTAATGTTAGAGTAGTTTTTAAAATAGTGATATTGAATAGTTGAGTGGTGTAAAATTAATATAGTGCTTGAAAATAAAACTACTATTAAATAAATGAAATAAAATTTTTATTGCAGGTATTTTGAGTAATTTGAATAGTTGTAACTAGCATTTTATTATTTTTATCCAATATTTTTAATAAGAAAAAAGATGATAGAGATATTTTGGAGATCTGAACCAATAAAGATGAATTTAAAGATGATATTATCATAATATTGAAATAAAAGTTAAGAACTTTACTTTGATGAATATATCAAGTGAAATAATTGAAAAGTGACAGACCGTTAATATCAACAGTCTTTGCTTGAGCATGATCTACATTGCAAACATAAATTGTCGATTTCCATACTAGTTACAAGAATAAATTCTATTTATATACCACTCACTCTATTTTAAAAATCGATGATCTTTATTTCTTCAGTTATAATTCTTTTAGGTTTCAAGTATATCTTTTCTTTAATTTTCTTATATTACCTCTATTATTAAATGTGTACCACACCAACGGTTAATAATACTCATTCGATAGACCAAGAATCCATCTTTGATCAAAATAGAAGTAGTTAGTTGGTTGTTTTGTACCAAAATGAATGTGAAGAATAGTTTACTTGGAAGAATTTACCTGATGGATCGAATCACATAGCACAATAACATTGGTTACTATTAAATATAGAATAATTATAGTATCATAGTCTTTTATTAATCAGCAATACTGCAATTATAAATTTCTTAATCATTGCATTGCAATCAATCTCTTCATCAAGATGAGTCACACAATAAGAAATTTTGTGAATTTGGCTAACAATTAGATGAACAAAATACGAAAGATTAAAATTTATACCTAAAGTAAGAATAAATAAGGTACAATTAGCAAGATCAGGTAATCAAAATTCAGTTGATGAATAAATCTTCTGTGAGGAACAGGTCAGGGAAATATACTAGGATATGGGAAAAATATGAGTAGATAGTACAATATGATGAAAAACACTTTCAAGATTAAAAACTAATAGTAAGCCGAGAAAAAGAGAGTATGATAAAGAACTGATATAGTCAGTCCCCAATTTAATAATCGATGTAATGAACAATCAGGTGTGACATGTGATCTTTTTTCCCTAGATTTATTATATTTATACTTAAAAATTCATGAAGATCAAATAGTTCTGTTTTGTGAGTTTTTAAAGAAATTCAGAAATATTGATTGTTATTGATATTTTAAAGGCTATCAACAGTAAGAATGTTTATTTACTTTGATAGAAATTAACATGAAACTTATCATGAATCTAAACTCTGAGTAAGTTAAGGTATACTGTCATAGTGAATTTTCACCAATCTGAAGATGAGCTGTGCTCATGTTTAATAATGGTGAGACCAACCCAATTGTTACTAGAAAATAACGGTTGACCAACGATAAGCTAAAAATTAAGGTACTTTAGAATTTTAATCCTTTGCCAATATTGGTTTTTAATCCAACTATTTTGCTAGTCTTAATGCAATTTATAAAACTTTGTATTGCAAAGTTATCAAGGAGAAAAAAACGAGAAACTACTTTTCTATAAGAGGTAGAAAATTGATCGCAAAATAGAATTTATAGTATTGGAATCGCCAGAAAAGTAGAGAACGTATCCCGTAATTTTTTCTGATAGATACGCTATCGAATAGCAAATTTTTGATAAGCATTAGAGCAATAGTCTCAAAAACGACTGCTAACTAGTTTATATCGTGAAAAGGTATCTATTACCATGTAGAGGAAGTACTTGAGTTTAAATGATTCAGAAAATGTTTCTTAAGATATTTATCATTTTCAATATTTTAAACTTAATTCAATATATCCAAGTGTGAGTAGTTTTTCTATCAAGCGAAACCTTTCAATTTTTGCTGAACATTGATCAAAGATCATTAGATCACTAATAGAAAAAAACATTATATCAAAAATTCAAATACTTGATTTATTTCTACTCATTATTGACACTTTGTTTAGTTATTGCACTGACAGTATATTATTATTTTTTATAAAATTTTGTATCTTGAAATTGTCAACTAAAGGTATCATAAAAAACTGTACATTTCTGTAAAGATTTTATGATTCAACAAATTTTCATACAATTTAATTACAAAAAAGATAAAGAAAATAATTTCCTTTTAATTAACGTTAATAGACAAGGTATCGATAGGCAAACTTCAATAAGCATCAAAGTGATAGCATCAATATTTTAGCAAAACTAATTTTACTTTTTAAGGGTGCTTAAAGAGAAAAAAAGTTTAAGATTTATAAACTCTTTTAGGTAGTATTTTTCCACTTTTATTATTTCGACCGTAAAAAGAGATTTGCTGATTTAAGTATTAATTTTATGAACCATTAATTCAACTCAAATCAAGAATAATTAAACAAAATCAATTATAGCTAATCTAATAAAAGAATAATAATAATTTGAATACTTTTTTAAGAAGTAAAGAAAACCATTCTTAAGTAACTTTAAATGTAAGTAACTTTTCACACTGCTAAAAAGAGAACTGTAAAGAAAACTTGATAAAACGTTGTATTCAAGAATCTAAATAAAAATTCACATTTATATTTAAAACTATAGTTTTATGCAGTAGAGCAAAAGTATTACCTTTGTGATAATACCATTGGAAATAATGGAGAAATTGTAGGTTGTCTAAGTTATGTAAATCGAAATTAGTAGTCTTTGATCAAGAATAGTAATCACACACTTTATACTATTCTACATTTCATATGTGATGATAGCATGCATTTATTCTATAGTCTTTACTTTACATATTGTATTTACATTTATGCAATTTGAAAAAGTTCTATACATTAAATTATTCCTATATGATTTTCACTATTACTTGCTCACTATCTCATAATAATGTGCATTTATGTGATTTTATTTTGTTGGAGAATTTTCTGTTAATTCCATTTTCTTCAATTTACTAAGAAATTCATTTAATTTATTACATTACCATGAACACTATTTCACTAATTTTATCAAGGGGCACTGTTGTGTTGAAAAACAATGTCACTATTTCTCCTCTAAAGTTTTTAAAAGAAAATAGTATGATATCGTTGTATTTAATATCTGAAAATTGAACATTGTAGAGTAATTAAATTATTAATCTGAACAATTTGATCAGAATATACATATATTATTCTTTTGTGTAATTAAATTTGATCAATTTTAATTGAATATTTGTATACTAGTAGCTATGGCTTGATCTGTAAATTCTTTCAATTTGATTAAATGAATGGAATTTTCAAAACCCGGAAAAAGGATTAGACCTAAGCTGATCTACGTAAATCTAATCGATTCAATTTTAGATAATGTAGGGATCCTATCAAATTTATTGTGATCTACCGTAGGTTTAAAAAAGATCAACAAAATTTTATAACGTCTTTTAAAACCAAAACATTTCAATTGCTGAAACAAAATCTGCAAAGATTGTACGACGTTTAGTACAGGAATAAATAAGTAAATTATTAACCAATCATTCGTTTTTTCCACCAATGTGGAAAATTAGAAAACTTAGAAAGTTTTAATGAGAAATGGTAATATGACAGAAACTTTAATAATTGAATTTTAATGGTCCTTTTGAATTGCTAAGAATAATAAATATATGAATAGTTAGGATTGTTTACAATTAAGAAGTATTGTTCATAATAAAAACATCAATAAAAAAGAATAATTAGTTGTGTATCCCAACAATATACATTTCAATTCAATTAATACATTTTCCATAATAGAATAAAGCTCAAATGATTTTTTTTATAGTATTGGAATCTTTATAAACACTTAATAATTATTAGGTAATTATTTAGAATTGAGGCTTTAGACGAAAATCACTCAAAAAAATATTTTTTAATAATTACAAAATTATATGTATTCTTCTAACACCTCTTCCTCCCTGTGCTTCTTTTTCCTACGTTTCGTGTGATCCACGATTTTAGTAAAATTCATTGATTCATCATATGTAATTTATAGCATATAATGTATGAAGTAATAGCAATAATATGTCTTCCCCGCTCCAAATTCACTATTTTTATTCTCAGAAATGACCCTAAATGCATAAAAAATCTTTTGAAGCAATTTCTGTCTGGAGCCCCAATTTGAAATAATTACCATTCGTTTGTTTATTTTTGTACGGAATAAGATCTAGAAATTTAAAAATCTTACCTTAGTAAAAATATCAATAGTAACATTAGAAAAGTTACAAGCTGTTAAAATCAATGGTTTTTGTTGAAGCATTATTACCACAGCAGTCATGAAGTGTTTATCTCCATACCAATTAGCAGAATAAATAGCATTCATGTATTCTTCACTCTGAACATAATTCTCACATCAAATCAATGCTACTTATCATTCATCTCTTTTTTCAATTACCTCCATAGTTAGATGGGTTCCACTCCATGAATACATGTAGGTCTGGAATATTTTGACTGAGATGTAGAAAAAAAATGATATTCCTTTCACAAGTGTTAAAGTTTTCAACTGTTGAGAATTAAAAAGAATTTAATAATTAATTTGAAGTTATAAATCAATAATATTTAATTACTTTATCAAAGTACCTGAGTTATTTGATATGTTAAAGTGCATAGCATAACAGCGTTGGTTATCATCAAGCATAAAATTATTGGGCCATATATTTTTTGCAGATGATCACAACATTTCACTATCGTACAATATTGAGCAATACACTTTTTTATTATAATATGACTATCACTTTTATCTTCAATATGTGTTATGCAATAAGTGATTTCACGTAGTTGGCCAATCATTAAAAATATATAAAATATAAACAAAGAATCAACACCCACTGAGACAATAAATACCGAAACACTAGCAACAAATTCATAAAAAAAATGGAACTGAAAAATTAATCCTGTAAAAGGAACTGGCCAAGGAAATAATGTAGGATATGGGAGAAGGTAGCTATTTGGTTGAATATGATTCATATGATTTGTTATAATTTTGCTTAATGGTAAAGAATTGAAAATGATGTTACAAACAAGCACTGATATGAATAAGCCGCAACTTAAAAAACGATACCGAGTCATTTCATTGAGAAGGAATTGACAAAAATGGTTTTGTTTTAGCAAATTAATTAGGTGGACTTCTAACAATTCACGAAGTTCGAAAACTTCTCTTTTATATTTTAATAAAGATATCATCTACAAAGAAGATTATAATTCATTGCTTTGTAATAAATAGTACTTTTTTTTATAAAGTATTTTGAATTATTACCTTTAAAACATTAATTGAGAAACCAGCCATTAGAGTTAAGCCTCTTGTAATGAGCAAAATACTCGTGCAATGAACTCTAACAAATAGAAATACGAAATAAGCCATACTTGAGTTTATCGATAAATGTACGAAAGGAAGGATGCGGTAAATTACACTAGAGTGTGTATTAGACCATCCTAATAATGTTAGAAAAACATTATTATATTTCGAATATGCTGAGAATCTCGATATTTCTGTATCAGAATCTTTCACCATTTTTTCAATAGAATCTCTTTTCAACTGAAGTTACTGAAGGAACTTGTCGTGACTTAGTGACTATAGTGATGCAAAGAAGTTACGCATTGCAGTTGGAAAATATATGAAATTTTTATAAACAAAGGGGTAGTAGAGATTTTAAATCACTTTGAAAAATTCAATATAGAGGAAAATTGCTTATGATATTCCTTAATGGGTTGGATATCGATTGAAGAATTTACAATAAGCATTGCGGTAGCAGTCGCAATTCAACTGTTACCCTTATCACATCGTACCGAGAGTTATGTATTTTCTGATAAGAACTTGGACAAGGAATAATTTGAGATTCATAAAAGTTGGTTCTTGAAGTTTGTTGCTATGATTGGAGTGTTTTGATGCTAAGAATTGAGAAATAGTGATTTAATTTCGGAAATATCAAATTTGACATTGATCAAATAATGAAAGAAAACCATTTTTATGATAAAAACTTTACTGTAAGTAATTGTTAAGTTATTTTATAGTTTTTTCAAAATTGTCACCACAATCTAGTGGCTCTCTATGATCTATAAAATGTGAGAACCAACCCTAGTAGTCATCATGACATCAGAATTTTTGCCAGACTTACGTACGTCTGTTCGCGTTCTGCATCAGATTGCCATTCATTTCTGACGAAAATCTTACGTCTATCTGCTTCAGAAAAACAGCAGATACATACGTAAATGACAAACTTAGGCCAACATACATGAGTCTGCCGTCAGTCTTACGTTGTTTTGGCTACTAGGAAATAAGTCAAGTGGTGGTATTTCTAGGTCTATATATTGTCGAGTTCATGTATACTATTCCGTCGAATAGTATTGTTCGATTAATTGAAAGAAATCATCACCGTAATCAATAAAATTATGTGAAAATATGTAAACACAATTAATATACCAATTAAATTTGTGGTTTGATGAAATGATCATCATCATAATGAGTTATTGTAATTCATTTATTTAAAATCGATTTAATGATCATGAAAATTTCCAAATGATTAAAATTATGTGTCATTAAAATGAATATTAATATGTATTTTACTAATAAAATAGACTGCAATTTCTTTGAACTCCAGGACAAAAACTGGTTGTTATAAGTTTAAACTTCACATTTGTGTCTCTGTCAGTGATATCTTGGTTCGCAAATGAATGAGTTAAATTTGATGTAGTTTTTTGTTTGTTTGTAAACTGATTAGATCGATTTTTAGCTATTTTTGATAATCACTTTAGTTATTTTAAAATTATCTGCTTATAAGAGATGTAAACTAGAATTTCGAATAACAATACTCAAGTTTTCTCATGAAACTATGGTGTTAGGACTCCTCGATATTTTGAATTGAAGTTTTTGTTGAATCTGTGCAGTGGTTCTTTTGTTTCTGTCAGTATTTTCCTGATGTTAAATAAGGAAATAATGTGAAATTGTTGGATGAAATGTTTAGAAAGCAATGATTTTATATTACTAATATGGCATGATTATGATTTGTAAGTTATACAATTGATGCAATGAATTTACAAAATTTTTATTAATTGAATCATTTTATTTGAGTAGAAATATTGACATAAAAATATTTCACATGTATATGTGATACATCCGAGCTCATTGTTAGAGTATGTATGACTTTGACAGTGATTACTAGATGCTCATTTCTGTACTAATTAGTCACAAAAATAATACTTTCAAACTTTTATTGATTTTATGCTTTTGATCAAATGTATGTCAAAAATAAAAATGTTCTCAACAGTGTGAATGACTGTATCTCTTTTAAAAATACTTTAATAAAATTTAGTAGTTAAAAATACAGTAATTGGTAATATATCTGCATGATTTGACAGATCGTTAGACATAGCATTCTAGTACATACCGTAGTCATCAAACAAAGAATGATTGATCTATAAATCTTTTACAGGTTCTCACAAAGTTTTAGTGTTATACACTTTACTGTCAACTATATTTCTTAGTAATGGCATTGTTATTGCTTTGCGACTGAATAATTTAATTGGAGTAATTTAGTCAGTTATTTCATGAAGTTTATTTATCATGACATGTTCAAACAAAGTCAGTCTATGATGATATCAATAACTACGGTTGCTAATATCATTAACATATTTATAGTATCAAATATTTTATTTGGTCGGTCTAAATATGATGTTTAAACTATGTAGATGTAATATTTTATCCAGTTAGAAAATTCTTTTCCCAGATAATAATTAATAAATTACCTATAAGCGAACTGACAATGTATGATATTTTGAATATTATTATAACTGTGGATTATATTTTTAAACTCATTTTAAATAAACAAAGATTTGTACGAAATAAAAATACTGTTAGTTTCTCCCAATCAAATTGTAAGATCCACCCACTCAAAACTGACTTCGGGTCTAAAAAAATACGATAAAAAAAAAATAATTAAATGAAAATCCGTAATATCAACAAAATAATGTTAAATGTTACTTACTACTGGAAGTGATAGACCATTCAAAGTGAATGATCATGAATGAGTACATGTGTCATTGTTGTTGGTGACCCAGGTAATTACATCTGGCCGATCTACGCTAGGATTGTATGGTAGAAGATATTTTCTTGTAGTTCTAAACAACTTTTTGGCGTAATATGGATATCTTACATCATCCACGGGGATGACTTTTGAAGGTGGTCCCAAATAGCAAGGCAAGTCTATTGGTGTCAGGTAATATCTTTGGTGTGCATGATTTTTTTGTTCGCGGTCCAATCGTGTCGATTGCACTTTGAACCTTGTTCTGATTTCACGACTTTTGAGCATATTATTGTGCAAAAATTGTACTTACACCAATGCAATGTATCAAAAAGTTAGCCTGGTTTAAATTTAATGAAAATAATCGAGGATTTCTATAAATAATTGATAATGATGTGCTTCAGAATAGAATTGATGATCAGTGTTGCTTTATTCAAGCGCCTGCTGATTTTGTATCGAAAATCATTTAAAATAAAGAAAACAAAGCGTAGAGGAAATAAAAATTTGATTTGTTAAATCAACTTACATATTAGGAAGTATGAAATGCTAATTGAGACAGCTCCTCATAGAATAAATTCTTCTGACGATTGTCTGAATGTTTTTAGTACATTTACAACGTTGCTATTCCCATCAAATAAAAGCGTATGAGTTTATTTCCATAGTCCAGAATTGTCAACGTTGTAATTCTTGGGCCTTACTGTCAGGAAAGAACGTTCTCAGCATACATCTAATATCATCACAAAGTATACAATGAATACTATTATCAATAGTAATTTTTTTTAATACTCGAAAACTGGATAAAAATAATGAACTTTTTTAAAAAAAAGTTCACAAAACATTCATTTACAAACGTCTCTTTTTTATTTATTTTTAGTACTGAAAATACTATTTTTTCTAGAGGTTTTCAATTTAATATTGATCGAAAATTATATTACTGTAACGTTCGAATGAATGTCCCTTATTGATTTAAAATTATTAGAGAGGTATAAGGAAGAATTGGTAGTCAGATGCTAATCTACAACTGAATCTTTCCTTGAATACTGGTAAACGAGGTTTAGTATTAACCAACGTACCAGGCACTCAGATAATTTTTGAATGCATAGTAACTACTAGGGCTTTTCCTTCACTATTGGTCCATCTGATATTTCTTTGACAGTTAAATAATTTACAATTATTGGATCGGAGCTTGAACGCTGCGTTTGATTGGTTGGTTGACTCGTTGATGCGTCCGCTCCACGAGTCGTATTGGAGTTTAACGACTCCTCACGTGAGCTGGTATTTTTATTGTTATGAAAATTGAATAAGGATAATACGGCAAAAAATGTAGATAAATTCCAGGCATAAATAGATAAGGATATGGCATAGGTGGATAATAAGGCACATATGGACTCATAAGCGGTTGCATTTGCGTTTATGGAACAAAATTTCTATCTGAATTAATTCGTTGGGGGGATTTATCTCACGTAAGTATTTTAGTAGGTGTAGAACTCCTAGTTCTAAAAAAAATTATTCCTCTTCGTTCTTCATCCTCAAAACTAATAACATGAGGTGAACGTTCAGATAACTTTTCAAAATTATTTTCTACATTATTAGTGAATCGAACAGAATTCTAACGTGGTTCAGTACCAACCAACGTACCAGGTACTCAAACAATTTCTTGTTTATTTATTTGTGTTCACAGTCAGATAATGAACATGGATTCGAATATACTTAGGGTCCCGAGAAACTTAGATATGGTCTTTCAAGAGTTTTCTTTGAATATAAGTTTTTCAACAACATATTGAATTGAAATATTATATTAACAAGGAAATATATAATTAAATAATATTTAATTATTTAGTTACCGAATAATTCCTAATGCTTAGGGGTCACTTTAAAGACTCTAGGTATGATAGATTCAGACTTTATATCCCAACTATCAGTCTAAGACCAAAATATGGCCCTAATAATTAGGTCGAGCCTATTCAGAGTTCACTGGATTTCTTTAAGGATAAGGTAGTATCTCTTTTATTTTTCAACCTTACTCCGAAGCAGAGTTAAACAGCTCCCGTAGTATGTTGAAAAATAATTGAATGAAATAATTTTTAGGCTATATTCTCAACCTTACTTCGAAGCAGAGTTAAACAGCTCCCAAAGTAAGTTCTACGAAGCAGAGTTAAACAGCTCCCATAGAATGTTGAAGAATATAGTAAAGGATAGGCTCCAGTGAATCTGAATTTTCGGAGAGGACTGACAGTCAGTGTACAAATCAGAGTCAACGCCAGAAATTAGACTGATGATTCCTTCAAAAGCGGCCCTTTTTATGTCAAATGAGGCACACCTGCACATGTTATCATGAGATATATGTTTAAGAGTCTTGATTGTGTTAGTATGTAGACGTGGAAATCTAGTCGTGGCGTTTTTGACGTCAGTAAATTTCCACATCTATTGTTTCTAAAGTTTAGATAAGTCAACATGGTATGATCTCGTCCCCTATCTATTCATTTATAGGTGACAATTGTGGCCCTGTTGGGTCCTATAGTTAACTTCTGTTTTAACTGATGGTAAGATAGATTTCGTTTTAAGGGACGGGAAATTATCCATTTTGACGGTTGTCACAGTATGTAGACGTGGAAATCTAGTCGTGGCGTTTTTGACGTCAGTAAATTTTTACATCTATTATTTCGTAAGATCTTAGATAAGCCAACATGGTATGATATCGTCTCTTATCTATTGGTTCATGAGTAATAATTGTAGCCAAAATATGTTTCTTTAAGGGACGGAAAATCATTCATTTTATAAATTTAGACTTCTGGTTATTAGTCTTCTCTGAAACTCAGTTTTACTAAATCCTAATTTCCTGTACATCCTTTAACACTCTACTGGAAGTTGTTACTCTACTTCAAAGTAAGATTTAAAATATAAGAGTAATATCTATTTATCCTCAAGTAGAATCAAGTGAATTCTGAGCAGGCTCATTAGGACCACACTTCGGTCTTCTACTGGTATTTAAGATTTTTGTTGTTCAAAATATTTATTCTAATAATTATAAATAAAATTTATTAAGTTCAATTTTCCTTTTTTTTTTTGAAGAAAATCTTTGAAAGAATATGTCTAGGTTTCACAAGATTATAAGTGTATTCAACTCCGTATTCTTTACCTGACTAGGAACACAACTAAATAAACAAGTGATTATCTGAGGGATCTGGTACGTCGATTAGTACTGAACCTCGTCTATCTCCAAATCTACTCTTTCAGTGTTTTGACTATACAAGTGTTTAAGGGAAGAATCAATCGTACATTAATAATTGACTGATCAATGCTTCTTCAACCCCCTGAAAATTACAACTTTAAGTAAAATGAAATAAACAAAAGCCGTTCATTCGAAAGTTACAATTGATTAGCAATTGAGCTCGAAAAGAGAGATGGAAAAACTTACAAGACAGTGGGAGAAATAGGTATAGGCAATAAAGACAGGGAATAATTTGAGAGATCTGTAAATGAGTAGGATGACATCCTTTGACCAAAAAGAGAGAAGCATAGAAATATAAGGGATTATATTATATGTAGGGATCCCTCATAGATACAAGGAATCGAAATTCTTAAGCATGATAGAGAAATAAAGATAAAACCATGTATAGGGTAAGTATAGGTACAAAATATATGAGTAATCAAGTCTTCTATCTTACATTAAAAAACTAAATATCATTTGACATGTCGAAATGCGAATGAATTAGAGATATGCTGTAGTTTTAAGAAATGACTGAATGAAATATTTGAAAGAGTATTCATCACATCATTTTCTCTGCACAAAAAAAGCCCACGTACACTTGTTATTATCACAACTGTGAGAATGAATGATTTTCCGTCCCTTTAAGAAACCTATGTTACCATCAGTCAAAATAGAAGTTAACTATAGGACCCAAAAGGGCTACAATTGTTACTCATGAACCAATAGATAAGAGACGATATCATACCATGTTGGCTTATCTAAGATCTTACAAAATAATAGATGTAAAAATTCACTGACGTCAAAAACGCCACGACTAGATTTCCACGTCTACATACTAACACAATCAAGACTCTTAAACATATATCTCATGATAACATGTGCAGGTGTGCCTCATTTGACATAAAAAGGGCCGCTTTTGAAGGAATCATCAGTCTAATTTCTGGCGTTGACTCTGACTTGTACACTGACTGTCAGTCTTCTCCAAAAATTCAGATTCACTGGAGCCTATCCTCCTTTATATTTCTCAACATTCTACAGGAGCTGTATAACTCTGCTTCGTAGAACTTACTTTAGGAGCTGTATAACTCTGCTTCGAAGTTAAGGTTGAAAATATAGTTCCAATATTATTTATCCTTTACTATATTCTTCAACATTCTACAGGAGCTGTATAACTCTGCTTCGTAGAACTTACTTTAGGAGCTGTATAACTCTGCTTCGAAGTTAAGGTTGAAAATATAGTTCCAATATTATTTATCCTTTACTATATTCTTCAACATTCTACAGGAGCTGTATAACTCTGCTTCGTAGAACTTACTTTAGGAGCTGTATAACTCTGCTTCGAAGTTAAGGTTGAAAATATAGTTCCAATATTATTTATTCCTTTATATTCTTCAACATTCTATGGGAGCTGTTTAACCCTGCTTCGAAGAGCTTACTTTGGGAGCTGTTTAACTCTGCTTCGAAGTAAGGTTGAGAATATAGCCTAAAAATTATTTCATTCAATTATTTTTCAACATACTACGGGAGCTGTTTAACTCTGCTTCGGAGTAAGGTTGAAAAATAAAAGAGATACTACCTTATCCTTAAAGAAATCCAGTGAACTCTGAATAGGCTCGACCTAATTATTAAGGCCATATTTTGGTCTTAGACTGATAGTTGGGATATAAAGTCTGAATCAATCATACCTAGAGTCTTTAAAGTGACCCCTAAGCATTAGGAATTATTCGGTAACGTCAAAATCTGACGTAAGCTGTATTCTCTAAAAATGAAGTAGTGAAAATAGTGATATACACTACAAAATCCGCGAATGTCACGTGAGTAGATAACATTTATTCACTCATTTCTAATATTCATACATTTGATTATGAAATACAATTGTTTGTTGAGGTATATGCACATAAATGTAAAATATTGTATACCTTTAATGGTCTTTCAAATTAAAATATTCATGAGAACCATTATTTTACAATCTAAACACTGAAGGCGAGGAAGGTAAGATGTATAAGAAGAATTATAGAAATAATTTATTTTTTATTGAATAAACTTAGTGATATTGAATCAGTATTCAAGATGAGATTACTCTTATTTAGTGATGATTATGAAGGGGTAAATATAATTACCAGGTTATTAGGATGGGAATGTTTGTTCGATTGTTGATGCATAGGTACGACACTTACACAACAAATAAATAAATGTTGAAAAATAATAGTAAATGAGTGGTTACTCACGTTATGAATTTTGATTGATTATTGCCAATTGTTTATTGGAGCTGATATGATAGCATAATATAGAGTACAATTTCGATTAATAGATTGAGTTTAGTTAGTAGTTCGAATGTTAAAAACAAATATATTCTGGTTAAAAGAATTGTTTGTCTTTAAAATGTTTACAAAGTGTAAAATCGACCATGAATATTTGCAAGCTCAAGTGGCCGAATCGAACTCGACATTACGAAATCTGATAGAGAATTGCTACCGCTACGAAATTTTGCACAGTTTATATAAGATTTTTCTTCCTATCTTGCTGTGTCCTTTTGCGATGGTCAGAGAAGGTGACTCAATAATTATAAATGTCTCGCACGTCGGTATACTCATGGTGCCAAAAACCAATCAAAGTTACAATATTTCTCTCTTTTAAGGTGGTTCATTATCTCATGTTCTTTTACTAAATATGGTAAATTTTCTAAACTTTTACATAAAGGAAAATTTTTCTTAGTTAATTTGACCGTTTATTTTTTTTTTTCTCTCTATTATTCGTTTAACACTCTTTCTTGGGTCATCTGAATCATCTTTTCTCACCTTGGTTATTTTATTTGATCTGTTGCAAGACATGTGGCATTATTTCATACATCAATACACTCATATAAATTTTCAATTTTTAATATCCAAACATCAAATCATTGTCAACATTATCACTCCGTATTTTCAAAATTCTAACCCTAACATCATCATATTTTTTTTATTACAATACCTATACTGTGGCAGCATCGATCCATTAGTCTTGTAGATGAATTTAAAGGAAATAATTTCCTTCAAAAGATCATGATAAAATGACCAATTCTTTTTTCAACTTTCTATTATTATATTGAATGATTATTTAGTAAATAATTCCAATTATTATTCTAATGTTTTTAATAAAAAATAATATGAAATCGTTGTATTAAGAATCTGCAAGAAAAAATTGTTTCAGTTACAAACTCTAAATAATTGTTTTAACGTATAATTAAAATCTATGATAATAATAATTTATAGACTTGTAATAATATAATAGTATGAATGGTAGAGTATTTACTTTAGTGAACATATCGATTGAGACAGTAGTGAAATTACAAGCTGTCAAGATCAGTGGTTTTTGTTGGAGCATGATTGTGATAGCAGTCATGAAACGTTTATCTCCATACCAATTACTGGCATATATAGCATTTCGACACTCTTCACTCTGTTGAAGTAAAATAACTATGTATCCAATATTGATTTTTTCACTATTTGACTGTCATTAATTACCTCTGTAGTTAAATGTGTTCCACACCATGAGTACATGTATGTTTGGATCAGCTTCAATGAAATGTAAGTGAAAAATAGAAGAATTTTTAGAGGTGAAAAAGATTGTATCTATTAAGAAAATAGATTTAAATGATAGTTATTACTGAAGAGATGAATAAAAGACTGAATAATTAAAAGCGAGTTTGGGTAATAGATTACTGATCATTTGTTAATTTTACGAAAGAGTGCTTGATTATAGATGGCTATTTATTTATTTTTCTTAATAAAAAACAACATTTTATTCAGTTTAATAAAAAATTTTAATCTTATCTATTTCAAATTTATTAAGAAAGTAAATTAAAAATAACTATTTACGAAGAAATGTAGGTAGGAAATCGAGTATATGTGGCAAAAAAAATATGTTATTATTTCACAGCAATATAGATTAGGTCATTAGTTACTTTAGAACTTTGAGTGATAAACTATTAATTGAATCCATACCTGAGTCATTTGGTAAATTGTTAGACATAGTACCACAGCATTAGTAGTCATCAAGCACAGTATAATTGGTCCATATATTTTCTGAAGATTATCACGACATTTCAGGACTATGCAGTATTGTCGAACACATTCTTTGGCTACGTTATTTCTATCACTGTTTTTATCAATATGAGTAATCGAGTAAGAAATTTCACGTAATTGTCCAACCATCAAAAACACAAAAAATGTAAAAATAGAATCAACACCTACAGTCACTACTATAACTGAGAGACTTGCAAGTGATTCGAAAAAAAAGTGAAGCCTAAAAAGCAATCCAGTAAAAGGTACAGGCCAGGGAAATAAACTAGGATATGGGAAAATGTAATGGTCCGGTTGGATGTGATGCAAATGGTTTGAAATAATTTTAGAGAGTGACATAACATTGAAAATCATATTACAGAAGAATACTGATATGAAAATGCCCCAGCTTAAAAATCGATATCGAGCAATCTCGTTGAGGACATAATGTGATAGATGGTTTCGCTCTAATAACTGGACTATATGCCCATCCAATAATTCAGTGATTTCATAAACTTCTTTTCTATGGATTATCAAACATGTTATCGAGAAATAAATAAAATTTCCAATGAATCTAGAAAGTTTAAAATAAGATCTATAGACAAGTAAATCTGATCAATCTAAAAAGTATTATTATAGCTTTATGTTCAAAACCTAGCCAGCTAGTAGAACCATTCAAGATGCCACATTTCTAATAACAATAAAATTACCTTCAAGGCAACTATAGTAGAACTCGTCATAACACTAAAACCTTTTATAAGAAGAAAGACATTGGTGTAATGAGCTTTCACAAATCCAAATATAACGAAGGTCAAAATAATCCCGAGAAACAAATGAACATAAGGAACCATACGGTATATTGAACTGGAGTATGTAGTGGACCATCCTAATAACGATAGAAAGTGGGTGTTAAGTTCGCGATATGCTAAGTATTGTAATACTTTTGCATCCCACTTCTTCATTATCTAGGAAATTTTTTTCTAGTGAAATGATCCAAAGTACTTTTGACTTTGATCACAATAAATTCACTGAATAGTTATAATACATGAAAAACCGCACCTAGTTAGAGCATGAAAATTTTATAGACATATATACCGATAAACTCCATGAATTCAGAGAAGAAAAATATAAGGAAAAAAAGTTGCTTGTGATTTCCCTTAATAGGCTGAGTATCGATCGTAGAATTTAAAATAAGCATCGGGACGACAGTTTCAATACAACTGTTAGGCTGATCACATCGTAGAGAGTTTTGTGTTACTTCTTGAAGAGTTTAGTACTCAGAAGTAGAGTTATTTCTAGATCTTGTGAAAGGTTTTGGAATTAAATTTAATAGTTGAGATTGAATAAAAGAATTAGTGTAAACTATTTAAATGAAATACGGTGTGATTTAAATTGTAAGTATCTTTAGTTTAATTAAATAATTAAACAAAAATGCGACAAAACTATTCTTAATATTACTAAGATAAATATTACAAACTATTGAAATTTAATGATTGATGTTATTCTATGCAACTACTAGCTTAGTCATGATCCCAGCTATCAGCAAAATTACTCCAAAGTTTTTAACAGAAAATAGTATGAAATGGTTGTGTTCATGATCTAGAAAGAGTAATGTTGTTTTTTATAAACAAAATGTTAGAACAAATCGAATAAAAAGATATAGTAAAATACCTTGGTGAAGATATCAACTGAAACTGTAGCTAAATTGCAAGCTGTCAAAACAAGTGGTCTTTGTTGGAGCATAATTGTAATAGCATTCATAAAACGTTTATCGCCATACCAATTGGCAGAATAAATTGCATTTCTGCATTCTTCACTCTGTTGAAGTAAATATTTTTATTTTTCTTGTCATGATTATAATTGTTGCTTAAATTACCTCCATAGTTAGATGTGTTCCACACCATGAGTACATGTAAGTTTGAATTATTTTTAATGTCATGTAGGTAAAAAAAAGTGATAACTTTAAGATTGATATTGAATGCATCTGTCATAAAAATAAGTGAATCGTGAGAAAGATTGGCGTTTTAAATCGATGATTTATGATTATTTTTTATTTATTTCTGTTTTGTATCAAACTACTCCAAAAATGAGTAATTGATTAGAATTGAGGCTCTAGAACAAAATCTCTTTAAAAAAATTTTTCACACTCTAGAGACAATTTTGTAGAGTTGAGATTTTAATCTGAAGCTTTAATTCTAAATAATTATTAAAAAATATGATAAATTGTTGATTGTAAATAATTAGAAAAAAAAGCATTTTTTTAGAGAAAATTTTTAAGCTTTCTCAAAAGATAATCTAATAAAAAAAGCTTATAGAATTTTATGGATTTTGATGAAACAACTGAGAAATCTATAAAATTACGATATGTATTTGTTATCTTTTTTATGAGAATCTATAGTTTTTATGAATTTGCTTTACTAGGAAAAGCTTTTAAAGACGATTTTATACTATCAGTTTATGATTTAATGTTGGTTGATATTGCGCATATATGCATGCATGAGCAGAATTATTTTTTTATTAATTTTTCATCTCAAAATATAATGCAAAATTGATAATACCTGAGTAATCTGATACATTGAAGTGCACATCACAATGGCATTGGTTGTCATCAAGCAAATAATAATTGGTCCATATATTTTTTGAATTGTGTCACAATATTTTATAAGTTTACAATATTGACCAATGCATCTTTTGATAACTAAATTATTATCATGTTCATTCTTGAGATGTGTTATGTTATACGCTATTTCACGGAGTTCGCCAATCATCAAAAAAATGAAAAAGGCAAAAATTGAATCTACTCCCGGAGAAACTATGACAACAGTAATACTGGTAAATGATTCATAAATAAAATGAAGATGATAAATGAATCCAGTGAATGGGACGTGCCATGGAAATACACTAGGATAAGGGAAAAGGTGATAGTTTGGTTGAATATTATGAATATGATTGGAAATAATATTTTTTAATGGTATAAGATTAAAAAAAACATTACAGAAAAAAACAACCACAAAACCACTTAAACTCAGAAGGCGATATTTAGTCACTTTATGAATGATAAGATCTGACAAATACTCCTTTTTCAACAGATTCATAAAATGTCTGTCCAAGGATTCATGCAGTTCAAATATTTCTTTTTTATATATTATCATACACGCGATCTACAAATAAAATCAACTATCAAATTTTGAAAAGTAAAGTAAGTTGATATCATTTCATAAAAATGTTCACAAAACTGTAGTAAAATAATAAAAACTTGAAGTAAATGAAATAACTACCTTTGTAGAAACTAAGACAAAACTCATCATAATACTGAAGCTTTTTATAAGTAAAGTAATATTACGATAATTTATCTTTACAGATCCAAATGTAGTAATACTTATGGTTACTCCAAAAAATAAATGTACATATGGAACAATGCGATACATCACATTTGAATATGTACTTGACCATCCTAACAACGTGAAAAAGTTTCTATTAAGGTCGCGATACGAAAAATATTCTTCTAATTTAGAATCGTCCTTTTTCATTATTTGACAGACTTATATTTAACTTAAACTCTTGAAAACTCTGTAGAACAACAATCTATTGGCTAACGATATGTGGGGAGGAAACCTTTATATCAATGTAATATTTAAGTTTTTTATAAACACCAATATGTTATTTGTATGCATTCTTTGAAACCATTGTAAAGAAAAAGATACCTTGATCGGCGTCGTATCGATCGTAGAATTTACAATAAGCATCGGAGCGACAGTCACAATCTAACTGTCAGTCTGATCGCAACTCAAAAGTTCTTACTACTTGATGCTTTGATATAAAGAGTACTTTGAAGATTTACAAAAGGTTTTAAGTTATTAGAATTATATAGTGAAAAATAACTGTCATAAAATTAATTAAACAATGGAATGAGTGAATTATTTATTTCTGCTGATTTTGATAGTGAGTATCTTTTATGCCTTCATGTCTTCTTGTTTGATGATTGAATGAATATTCGTAGTGAACTTACAGTACGTTTTTTTTTTAATTATTCAAATTATTCCAATGTTTTTAAAAGAAAATAATATGATACCGTAGTATTGAGTATCTGCAAAAAATTGGTTAAGTTACTGGTAAACGCGTTGGCTAAAAAAAATTTACCTTGCTAAAAATATCAATCGAAACGATAGACATGTTACATGCTGTGATAACTAATGGCCTTTGTTGAAGCATTATCATGATAGAATTCATGAAACGTTTATCTCCGTACCAATTAGCAGCATATATCGCATTTCTACACTCTTCACTCTGGTGAAGTAAAAATATTTTATTTCAATCATAAACTTTTTTTTATTTCGTCTACTCTTATGTTTACCTCCATCGTTAGATGTGTACCACACCATGAGTACATGTAGGTTTGTATTAACTTCACTGTTATATAGGCAAAAAATAGAATTATTTTGAAAATCGATATCGATTGCATCTGTTCGTAGAGAAATTTAATCAATAAAAGAAAAAAACTGTTTAGAAAATTTTTTTAAAAATCATAGTTAAGATTTAATTTTATTTTTTAAACATACCTGAGAAATTTGATAAATCGAAGTACACAGCACTATTGCATTAGTTGTCATCAGGCAAAGAATAATTGGTCCATATATTTTTTCAAGATTATCTCTACATTTCAGTAGAATGCAGTATTGGTTAATACACTTTTTCACAATGATGTTATTACCATTTTTTTCATCAATGTGTGTAATAGCATATGAGATTTCTCTAAGCTGGCTAATCATCAAGAATACAAAGAATACAAAAATTGAATCAACTCCTGGAGAAACAATAATGACTGTCACACTTGTAAGAGTTTCATAGACAAAATGAAGTCGATATACAATTCCGTTGAAAGGAATTGGCCAAGGGAACCAGCTGGGGTATGGAAAAATATGATAATTTGGCTGCACTTGATGAATGTAGTTAGAAATAATTTTAACTATTGGCATGATGTTGAATATAAAATTGACAATAAAAACTGATATTAAACCGCCTAGACTCAGATATCGATATCTTGTTACTTTATGAAGAACAAAATGAGATAAGTGTTCTTTCTTTAACAGATCCGTGATATGTCCATCTAATAAATTGTACAACTCAACAATTTCTTCCCGGTAGATTATCAAACATACGATCTATAAATAAAATTTATTATTTTATAAAATTTTTGATTACTCACTTCTCATGAATAACTAATTCACAACTATTCATCACTTAAATCACCGAAACCAATACTGTTTGATGCTCCAAGCTGCCAAAAGAATGCAAAAAGTAGAATTACCTTCAAAGCAACTAAAGTAGAACTTGTCATTATACTGAAACTCTTGATGAGAATAATGATATTGTTGGAATGAACGCTGACGAATCCAAAGATGACTAAAGTTATACTGATTCCAAGAAATAAATGTATATAAGGTACAATACGGTAGACTCCATTCTGATAGGTATTTGACAATCCTAATAATGTTAGAAAATTGTTGTTAAGTTCACGATAAGCTAAGTATTGCAATACTTTAGAATTATATTTTTTCATCATCCACTAAAGTTCTTGTTACTTAAAACGGTGGCTGTACCTTTGAATACTGACTGGAGATTGTGCGCAAAAATACGCATTAGCGTTACGCATGAAAACTTTATAAAGATATGCACTGGCAATTTCCTTGAATTTGAAAAATAATGTAAGGAATAAAATTGCTTGTGATTGACTTTAATGGGCTCAATATCGATTGAAGAATTTACAATAAGCTTTGAAGCGACAGTCGTGATTCCACTCTTAGCCTGATCACAACACATAAAGACATATCCAGAAGATAAAATTTGAAACATGAAGTAGTTTGGAGACAAGTTTAACTTAATTAGATAAAAGTTTTTTTTGATGACTAAATAATTATCATGATATATAATTAACAATTAGAAAGTGGTTTATTCTGTTTCAAAAATAAAATACAAAATGAATAAGATTAGTAAATTCTCTCATAACAGCAGAAATAATCATTGAGGAATAACTTGAACTGTGAGTAAAAAAAAGAAATTATATAATTATCAAATCTTGTAATAGATTTTTGTCTCTACTTTATTCATTTTATAATGAAAATAGTTGATAAATTCTTTTTAAGTTAATTTTTTAACGCTCATTCAATAATTCCAAATTTTGCAACGAATTAAGATGAAAGCATATTATGCTGTTCAACTGGTTTCAAATTTGTTTAATTTAAAAATATATTACGGATATAATATACCAAGGCTGATGGATTAATACTCGTATTAAATTGTTTTATCCTTTATTGAAGAGGAAATAATTACTTCATATATTGTTTAAATATTTGATAAAATCTTAATTATGTAAAATCATGACTAATTACATTTATAATAATTATCAAAATGATAATTTTGACGTAGTTGTCTTTTGGACTTTTTGAAAAGTATTTTGTTACGTTCCCGTAACTGTACAGGTGATCTCTCAGTTTAAGTTGCAAGAAAGAAATTCTCCAACTTTCTTCGAAACGGTGACCTCACTTTAGTTTTGTGGTGATTAGAATTAAGATAATCTGATGATAAAACACTCAGTACATCTATGTCAGGATATCGAAGTTCTACTATTGTAACACACTCGAACCAGGCAATGGCTAGGAAAATGAACAAATAGATAGAAAAATAAATTGAATTACTCACGATGAGTTTCGAATGCTGACACCAATTGACGTACATTAATTGAATAGATAATTATTTAAATACAAAAAAAGGTTTAATCTACTCACTACTGGATAAATTTAGTTAGTATTACAGAAAGTGTGAAAACTGTTGTTATTGGTTATTTACTCTGCAAATTTAAGATTTTTACAGTGTGTTAAAATGACTCACATGAAGTGTTTATTACATTAAATTTCTATAATAAAATTATAGAATTTAACATACCCTACAGTGCGTAAAAAGTGACTTCAAAATGCAACAGTTTGTATATAAAATTTTGTTATTGCTCGACTCACAAGTGTAAGCATGTCGAGGTTTGGTCTTTACATTAAACTTGGAAACCTCAACTTGCAAAAAATTGATAACCGCTGTGTGTATTCGGATTTTTGAAAGAAAAAAAGTCCCAAGCAATAACTCAATTACTTCAAATAGGCTTCATTGGTTTTTAGACAGCGTTTCCTTTTTATTCCTTAGTTTATTCATGAGTAATTTTTGCGTCTTAGTAACTCATTTTTATCAAGAAAGCTGACTTTGTACACATCCTATTGGCTTTACTTGCATTAAAAGAAATGTATAGTTATAAGAATAATCCAAAGTATAGCCGAAGTTGACTACTGTCACAGCAATCCTTTTGTCTATTCTAATTATTTGAACAGTCGTCATAACTATTTAGATAGATACTGCAACTATGTTGACTGTATGAGCAACTGACGGATGACTACGTGTAAAAAGTGTCTACAAATTATGTATAGTTTGATTATGGGCATTTTACATTGAACACACCATATGTGTGTTATTTTAACACGTTTATGAAATCTTGGGATTTACCGTGTATAGTAATAATACTACGAATTTTGAAGCTTAGATAGTTCATCTAAAAGGTATTGTTCCTACAACTAGAAATTTTGTTCGGTGTAGTTTATTTTTCAATCTTTTATGCCTTGTCGGTATTCATCTTATTTATTAGTTTGCTTTTAATAAGTTAAAGGAAAGTTTGCATTGGCTTTGTGTTTATTTGTGGTCTTCTACTGCTTATTAATTTATAATTTCGTTAAAATTTACATTTATTAGGTTTGCTCTTCATTAACTGAATGGAATGAGAATGAACTTCTCTTGCTCTTCTAAGAGTGAAGATCTTGCTTTGATTTGATGGTCAAAGAAAATGACTTGAAATTGTACAGGTCATATTAGACTGATTAAGATAAAGTATTTTCACGCATTTCAGGAATATAAATAATAAAAATTAATATCTCTAAATAGTGTGATATGAACCTAAGAATTATGGAATTTCGGAGTAATAATCGAGCTATTGTATATATAATTTCTATTAAAAAGTATTCCGACAATTATTCCATAAACTTTTTAATTAGATTGTTTTGTCGACATAAATAAGAAAATGAATATAATAATTGCAATAAAAAAATATTACAATTGAAAATAAAAATCAACCATTTCTTGTTTTCTGTGTCGTTTTTTGATTTTCTGATTGTTTTTTTGTTATCTGCAATCTTCGATTTTTCGAATTTTATCTAAAAATAAAATTTATAATAAAATTTTATTTTTTATAAAATTTATCTAACTCTATAAGTACATTACATATTATTTTCATTAATTATTTCTAAAAAATACTAGAGCTTACATTTCATTCCTCACTTGTACGTATTTTCCGCCTCACTTTAGTGATCTAGGTGCGATCCGAAAGGTCCACACCAAAAACTTTCCAGTGGAAAGAATGAAAAATCATATGATCTATTTATCACTATCAATTTCTCAGTGAGAAGTTATTGGAATGAGTCCGATTTTGTGAATCTCAAATTTTACCACATCTCCATGTTTCAAGGTGTTTAGAATCTAATGGTGGAGTTTTAAAAAGAATGTCTGTGTATGTACATTTACGTATGTATGGATGTTCGGATTCAATTTTGATCTTATATACTTTGAGAAAAAATGATGATATTGACATGAGCCTGATTTTATTCAATGCATAATTATATAACTTAGACTTGGTTAGATTTTGAGCAAAAAACCGTCAAGCCATTTTTTGTGCCAAATGAGGGCGCAGAGGACGATGCCCTCTGAAATTAAGAAAAAGATGGAACCTGTAAGATACATTCGTTTGAATTCGAGTAGATAGAGGGCAATTCATTATGCTGAGAACGTTAAAGAGAGAGGAGATCTCTTGGTCAGCACCGGTTCAAGTCACATGCACTAACTTACTTGACTGAGGTCATTTGAGGGCCACCGACGTAAGTCGCGAGGACGACAGTCACAAAACTTTATTCTGTCCCGTTCCATGTACTAACGTTTGAGCCTGCTTCAAAAAAAGACGCCAAATCTCAAAAGCTTCCAGTCTGCTCAAAAAAAAAATGCTAGACTTTCTCGAAGCATCAAGCCTGCTTCAAAAGGAAAATCGTCTCCTGCTTGCCCAAAGGGTGTCTGATCAACGAAGGAACCCATCATCACTCTTCCAGCATCTGGGTAACTCACCTACTTACGGGTAACATTAAATATTCATTTATCTATGTAACAACGCATCGAAAAAGAAAAATATTAATTCTTGTGATTTCTTTTCTTTTGGTACGACTACCGTCTATTTCGTTAACGTTGCACTGTGCAGAATTATGTTAGAATCTTAGTAGAAATCATAGAATAAACAATTATATTATTACAAACCTCTGAAGACCATTTCGACGCTTCAAGAACTCTGCTACTTACATGGAGAAAACGAAAGTGCAAAAAATACCTAAATACGTACGCGATAGTTACAATTTTGCTGAGTAGCTTGTCGCTTCAGAGGTAAAAATGGTAAAAATTACAAACTTTACCAAAAATGGTAATTATTACAATTTCTAATTGCATGAGATCAAAGAAAAATTGTAAGATATTCCGAGAAATAGATTATTTGTTGATAAAGAGTGACATTTAAAATTGTAAGGGTTCCTTCTAGAGTTATAAGAATTACATTTTTGAAACGTGAAACAAAACGATATACGTAATCATTTATACAAAGGAAAAATGGTTGCTTTCAACAATTAACATATACATGTTAAACATAAATATTCAAGAATTACAGTTTCATTTTGTAAAAGAGAGTAGTTTTCTCACTTCTTTTTACATTTTATAACTTAATAAGATTCATTTTTTGATGGAAAAAGGGGTTTCAATTTTATTTACTCTTTCTCTAGAAATGACTTAGTAAAAAACATTGCAAAATAGTTAATATTCATTCGTTTTTAGTCATGAACTTATTCTAGTTGAAGTTCAAGCTAGTCACAAATTGATCACTAAGAACGAATGAATATTGACTATTTTACAATGATTTATACTGATTCATTTGCAGAGAAATGCAGATATATCTCATCAAAAACAGTCCCCTCCTTCTGAGCTGTACAAAAATGTGCGCCAAACATAAATAACGACAATGATGAAATTACAAAAAGTCCTAAAATAATTAAACGCCAATTATTTAAATCTACAAATCAACAATATTTAAAATGAATTATTTTCTTCGGTTTTTTTTGTTTTTTTTTAACTTAGTACGTTTAATGACACAATAAACATAACAACCAAAAACTTGGCGTGACTGTTATTTATTAATTGGCTTAAATGTTTTCAATATTTTCACAATTTCATGCTTTTATAAAATCTTAACAGTCACGCCAAGTTTTTGGTCTCTCATTTT